GGGGGAAGGGACGTGGGTAATCTCAACATCCCCAATGCAAAAGGAACCGGCAAGCGATTGCACTATTTCGCCTTAAATGTCGCTAGGAACCACTATTTCAACGGAGGGGAGAGGTGGTCACATCAGCGAAAAATGTGATAACTAAATAAATGATAATAATGAATGCTTTAGTAAACAAAAAATGCAAAAAATACAAAAAATATTAACTGCTTAAGAAAATTTATGTATATAAACAAGATTAAAAAATATCCCATGTTATTTAGTCACATTTGCGGAAAATATGTTATTTACGAGTGAGCTATTAAGTATATTAATAAATATACTTAATACCCCATGCCAACAGTGGAGTATTATATATATATATATATATATATATATATATATATATTGAACATTAAAAAAATATCAAAAAATTAAAATCTTCAGACACACTGGGTTGTAGATGAATATTCTTTCGTTTTTTTTAATTATTATTTCATTTAGATTCCTCGACTAGTTTCGGCCAAAATGTCCATCATCAGGTGAAGAAATATTTCTGCTTGCTGGTAGTAAAGTAAACTGAATAATATATAATATATATATATATATATATATATATATATATATATATATATATATATATATCAGCCAGGCTGAAACACAAATTTAACAATATAGATAGTATTAATATATAACCCCACAAATCAGGACCTACCCACATTTCTCACTCGCACAAGACAGACATACTTACGGAGGTGTTGAGGCCTCACACTTATACACACACCCACATGAATATACACACTTACACACATCATACTCACTCATTCCCTAAGGACCAAATAACGCACACACACTTAACAGAGACACACCACCTTTCCAGGAACCAATAAAACTGTCAAAATGACCAAGGGAATTCAGAGCAGCATGAATCCATCCAGCTCTTATCTCAAATAACAACTTAAAAGAGACTGTTTGACCAACACAAGGACTGACCAAAATTCATGTTAAAAAAATTTAAAAAAACAAATGAAAACTAGAGACAAAGGTTCATTTTCTCCATCAAGACATTGATTTCTGTAGTTTTTTTTTTCTCCTGATGATGGACATGTTGTTCGAAACTAGTCAAGGAATCTAAATGAAATAATAATAAAAACGAAAGAATATTAATATACAACCCAGTGTGTCTGAAGATTTTAAATTTTAATATTTTTATTGTTCAATATATATATATATATATATATATATATATATATATATATATATATATATATACTCGCAGCATAGCACGGCGTTGCCCGTGCTTGATTCAAAAATCGTACGACATACAGCAATCGCTATCATTTGACTTAGAATATTTTTGCCCTTCCTTGCCTTTAAAGGAGTGCCCTTTGCCATGCTGATGTTGCTACATGCCTTACTTCTTGCTAATTTTTACACTTTTACTTTCTTACGCTGCTAATTCTTTTCTAAGCTCTATACTAAACATTAAATCTCTTACGAAAAAAGAACTAAACAAAATGAACACAAAACGATCAGCTTTAAAAAAGGACTCGTAACTGGAAAAACCGGATTAAAAAAGAATGTTAGCAACAAATACAGAATCAACGTTGAGTTTAAGCAAGCGAATGAGCCAATTGGAGTAAAGTGCCATGAAGATTTAAATTTTTTCCACTTGTGACGAATGCAGCTATCGATTTTTTTGCATGCTAGTTAACATTCATGTCAGTCAGCTGTTGGCTCTCACGCTGGCCAATAGAATCTTCCTGCCTATTCGTGGCTCTCACTCTGGCCAGTACAAAATTGCCACAAACTACATGAAAACTGCCGTAGAAGCATGAAAAAATCGATTATTTCCACTGTCGATGGGAGTTGGGAAATGCAAAGTCAGTCTTGGCCTTGCCGCTAACTTGGGGCATGGGCATGTAAATTTTGGAGCAAATCCGTCGAAAATTGCGGCCGTGCATTCATTACACACACACACACACACATTCTGCCTTTTATAGATAGATATATATTGAGTAACGTATATTAACATATAATAACACTAATGAATAATGACTAAAACGTAACATTAGAAGAATTTAACGCATTTAAATGCTCAAAAAGTAAAGTTGAGCAAAAGTACTCATCAGATAAAGAAAAGGTCAAAGGACTTTAAGACCGAGTTTAAGATTTTGTCAAATAAAATCGCTGAAACTTTTGTATTAAACTAGTAACATGTCGAGGATTACACGCTGAGGAATAATGGTTATTTAGCTCGCCTGATTGAACATTGTTATTTAATAGCTATTTCGACAATTTAATCTTCATTGTCTTATATTTATGGGCTTTTGTTTAGCAGATTTGGGGCAAACACTACTAGAAGGGTTATCACTCAAAGTTAGATTGCCTAGTTTTGTTCGCTATTCAATATTCTACTGGGTTGAGGGGATACATCGATTTATGCGTTTCCGAATAATATTCTTGCGAAGTTAATCCAGTAATCTAGGGTGAAACATGGACTTGCCGCGCGGATTATATAGAAGGATGCTAAAGATATCATAGATCAATCATGTGAGCAACGATGAGGTCTTAGAGAGGTTACAAACAAGGACAAGGCATATACTTAACATCAGAAAGAGGCAGGTGAAGTTTCTGGGACACATAATGAGAAAGGATGGCCTGGAGAATCTGATACTCACGGGTCGAATAGAGGGAAAGTGAGACAAGGGAAAGCAGCACGTGACATACCTGACGAGCTTGAGCAAGTGGATGACAGAACGTGGCCTGGGGGAGGAAGCAGAGAGAAGGAACTTGTTGAGAGCTGCAAGGGATAGAGGGAGATGGAGAGTCATGATCGCCTACGCCCTGAAAGGACATGGCACATAAAAAAGATAATACTTAAAAAAGCTTTTAATATATTTTTGCAATATATTGACGACAAATAATTACGCAGTGGTCAAAAAAGAAAAAGAAAGAAATGGTCTTAGATATGAACAGAGGGATGATAACAATGTTCCATGTAGAGTTAATGAAGAGATCACTTCAAAACTACATGAATCTCATTCGGATTAAAAGCTATATAAAGAAGGCCAGAGATCACAACTGTCTGAACGTTATGATAATAACAACAAAGATGTGGATACGATTTCAAATGTAAATAGTGTGAATAACGAAATAGTTATTTACTATTTAGGTTTGGTTTGTTTTATTTTACGGCATATCAACCTCATTGGGTCATTTAATGCCGACAACTTTTTTTTTCCTGTTAATATTTTTGTTTTGTCAAAAATCATTTCTGTTAATATTTTTTTCTCAAAAATGTATAGCTGGTAATATTATTTTTTTCAAAAACGTATAACTGGTAATATTATTTTTTTTTTCAAAAACGTGCAGCTGGCAACATTATTTTTTCAAAAATTTATTATCAGTGGCCTTTCTGTTGGACGTAGTTTATCGTCTTACCCAGGACGCGGATGTAGTTTATCGTCTTACCCAGGACGTGGATGTAATTTATCATCATACCCAGGACGCGGATGTAGTTTATTGTCTTAATCAGGACGTGGATGTAGTTTATCGTTATACCCAGGACGCGGATGTAGTTTATCGTCATACCTAGGACGAACTATTTAGGTTAGTCCACATAGTGAGGATCTAAGTGCTAGGAGGTTTTAGTAGCCATCGAACAATGGTAGATGTATATTTTTGATAGTTGCAAACACTTATCGAAATGTTTACAGAAATAATATACTGAGTGACTCAGTGGAACCTAATCAGAATTAGAACACCAATTTTCTGATTAATCATTTCAACCCCAAAAATGCTTAATGCCACTAAGACCCCACGAGTTACGAATAGTGAAACAGAATGAGAAGACTTCAATGAAGAAGAAGGACAATAAAAGGACAGACGATGGCGATTGATATTGCATTTAGATTTTTGATGATCACAGTTGATGTAAAAGCAAGATGCCGGAAAAAATTCCACAACTGAGAAGTCCGAGAGAAGAAATTATTCGAATAGAACTTAAAATTATATCTATTAATTTCAACAGTAAAATGATGAGACCAAGTTGCCAATCTAGTACTGCATTCAGGAAGTCTAGGTAGGTCATCAGAATAATCACCTAGAAAATATTTATCGAAAAGTCTCAAGGTTACGGAGGTGAGAAAAGTGAAGTCGAGATATCAGAAATACCAGACAGATAGGGCGGCAATATTTAAAGGAACGAACGGACGGTAGATTTATAAATGTACACGATGGATCCTGGCACGATGCAATGAATCAGCTTTCCTAGCAGCAGATCTGGCCTTTAATTCAATATAATCACTCCACTTTATGTCAGTTTTTCATTATTTTTCAATATAGTCGCCCTTGACATCAATGCTCTTGGTCCAATGATGTTTCTTAAGTATTGCGATCCCATCAGAGATTTGAGTTTATGAAATAGGAAGAAGTCAGATGGAGCTAAAACTGGTGAGTAAGGTGGATGAGGGGTCATTAAAAGGCGCAGTTGGACGCTTCAACTACAACAAATTGAGCACTAACTGAAGTCATAACACTACTGACAGGACAAGAACTAATGCCTATGTTCTTAGCAATCAGCGGCGGTGTTAAGACGTCTGTCCTCCAAAATCATACGATGAATGACATCAACTTGTTCATGAGGGTTTAAGGTTTTTAGACGACCTGACTGTGGGTCATTTTCTGTGCTGTTCCTTCCTCGTTTATATTCCACAGCTCACATCGTCATAGTTGCATGGGACTCAGAGTCCTCATCAAGTATCTGTGCCATCTCCCCATGAATTTCCTTGGGTGTCATACCTTTCTTTTGCAGATAAATTTATGACTGCTCGAGCCTCTATTTTGTCCATTTTTAGATTTGGCGCACACCTTTCATCTTTGCAAGCGCCTCGCATGCAGAGCAAATAAGACAGAAATATGAATTAGTCTTCCTAGTGTTATAAGATGTGGTAGTGTGTTGCCAAAAAAATATTCAGCTCCAGCTCTTCTTTCTGGGTGGGAGTTATAACTTTTTGAAGGAACATCCTATCTATCTATCTATCTATCTATCTATCTATCTATCTATCTATCTATGTCTTTTTATATCAAAATAATTCATATCTATCTATTTTTATATCGGTAATAATTCATCTATCTATCTATCTATCTATCTATCTATTTTTTTATATCGAAAATAATTCATATCTATCTATTTTTATATCCCGAATAATTCATTATCTATCTATCTATCTATCTATCTATCTATCTATCTATCCCATTCTGTTCATATCTATCTATCTATCTATCTATCTATCTATCTATCTATCTGTCTGTCTGTCTGTTTTTTTATATCGAAAATAATTTATATCTATCTATTTTTATATCTGTAATAATTCATTATCTATCTATTTATGTATTTTTATATCGAAAATAATTCATATTTATCTATTTCATATCTATAATAATTCATTATTATCTATCTATCTATCTATCTATCTATCTATCTATCTATGTGTTTTTATATCGAAAATAATTCATATCTATCCGTCTATCTATTTTTATATCTGTAATTATTCATTATCTATCTATCTATCTATCTATCTATCTATCTATCAGTCTGTCTGTCTCTTTATATCGAAAATAATTCATATCTATCTATTTTTATATCTGCAATTATTCATTATCTATCTATAGATCGATCGATCTACTAACAATGCTAGTTTGGAGTTTCCAATTACAATCTCTAGACTAGACTTATGCCGTGCATATTTAAATAAAGAATCACGCCAACACACACGTTCTAGGCTCATTGTCGTGATGCGTGGCGGTAAGGACTTTCTGCGTTCTATGACGTTGTTCTGTCACATTTAAATATGACGCTACTTATGATACCATGATTTTTTTTCACATAATTCACTGTTTATACAACCCTGGGTAAGATTCACGAGAGTCAAAAGCTTGGATGCAGCCATTATAAAATTATTTAAAACTTCGTAGAACTATTTTTTTTTTTTTGTGAAGGAACATTCGCAGTTTGGAGAGGAAGATGCTCAATCGGTGTGTCTTTACCCGTGGTTCCGAAAATGAGACGCATGCTTTTAGCCGGCGGGATTCAGTTCCTGAGGTGCCATGCTGGTGGCTGCCACAACCTAAGCGAGCCTGATCGTTTGGTTTAACATTGCAGTTGCAATAAGTGCTGGTACAGAGATCCCCCTTGTTGGCTTGTGGCGTACCCTTCTGTCTGCGGTATGTTGATAGCCGAGCAGCGGCTGTATCTGAAGCGCCGGCCATTGAGGTTTGGTCTCGCAATGCTGATTCAAATGCCCCAGCATGACGGATATTTTGCTCAAGGGATTAAAGTGCCCCAGCTTTGGCCAGTAGGTCAGCCTGGAGTGTGTCATTTGCTAGTCCACGGATGATCTGGTTTTTGATGTATATATCAGACAGGTCATGCTCACACGAGGGGTAGGTAAAGTTACAGACAACGGCTACGGCTCTGAGGCGGACAAGGTAACTTTGTATTGGTTCATCCACATCCTGAGACATGGAGGCAAAAGCAAGTCGATGGACAATAGGACTTGACCTCTGGTTAGATTTTAAAAGGGGCAACTTGAGGATGAATTACGAACAGTGATTTTTTTTGTAGTGGGTCTATTTGAGTATGACTGTGTGTCAGCGTTAATATATATAATGCATATACAGTATGCATATGTAAAATTACATATGTACATGTGTAATTACGTACTTAATTATTGTATATATATATATATATATATATATATATATATATATATATATATATATATATATATATACAATATCTCTATGATTGGTGTATACGGAATAAATTCCAATACCTAACAAATACTATTCTTAAAAGAGTGCTCGATACAGGGTAGAGCAAATATAATTATTTATTCGAAAATTATAACAAAAATATGTTATAAAATCACTACAAAAATAGCTATTTTGTTTCAACGCTTCTGGTGTCTTATCAAGTGATGGTGTTGAATGTAGAATAAAGGGTTTTAAAAGGTTCAAATAAATCAAAAACCTCTCACTAGTGGAAACGCTGTTACATAAGCTGGAATGACCAATCAAAATACAATTATATGAAAATTCAAAAACTTGACAACGAACTTTGGTTATAATAATTATTTAATGCTTCAATGTTAGGGTTAGACTAAAATAGAATTCATTTTAACTAATAAATAATAAATTATACTATAAAATTAAGAATTAAAACTTACCAATTTTAAATTTAATCTATATTAAGTTTAAAATTATAAAATTATTTAAAGAAGAAACTGAGGAAAAAATACGTTTTTCTATTTATTTTGTTTTTATTGAACTTAAGTTGGAATAAACGTTAACATCATCACTTGATAAGACACCAGAAGTGTTGAAACAAAATGGCTTTTTTTGTAGTGATTTTATAACATATTTATGTCATAATTTTCAAATAAATAATTATATATATATATATATATATATATATATATATATATATATATATGTTAGGATAGTAAAACATGTTATAAAAATCGCTGCACAATTACAATTGGGAAATGTTCTGACGGAGGACGGTAAGTGCGAAGCGGCGATTCGAAGACGGATTGGGATGGCCAAGGATGCATTCCAGAATCTGAGCAGAGTACTGCGAAACAGGAGGATTTCTATGGTGACAAAGAAAAGAGTAATGAACTGCTACGTGGCATCTGTCCTCCTATACGGCAGCGAATGTTGGACGGTATCCTCAAGGATGAAGAAGAGACTCGAGGCGGGGGAGATGTGGTTCTACAGAAGGATGCTGAGGATATCATGGACCGAGCATGTGACCAACGATGAGGTCTTGGAGAGGATGCAAACAAGGAGGATACTTATGCTTAACATAACAAAGCGGCAGATGAAATTTCTGGGATAAGTGATGAGAAAAGAGGGCCTGGAGAATCTGATACTCACGGGACGAATAGATGGAAAAAGAGACAGGGAAAAGCAGCTCATGACATACGTGGCGGCCTTGGGCAGGTGGATGGCGGAGTGTGGTCTGGGAGAGTTGGCAGAAACACAAATCCTGTTGAGAGCCACAAAAGATAGGGGGAAGTGGAGGGCCATGATCGCCTACGTCCTGAAACGACACGGCACATAAAAAGAAAAGGAAAAAAAAGAAAGACTTTCATGGCAATTGTTTTGACGAACTTTATGATACCTAGACTTTCTGAATTTAAACGCAGTACTAGATTGGCTGTGAGGTCTCATCACTTTATAGTTGAAATGGTAAGATGTGAGCGTAAGATCGATGTTAACATGTGATGCTTATGGAGCTCTTTTCCGGATTCTTGCTTCCCAATCAACATTCATCTTCAAATATTTCCATGCAATGTCAATCGTTATCCACCGTCTTCTTAATTCCCGTTTCTTTAATTGTTTTCTCCCCTTGATAATGTTTTTTTCTCTCTCTCTAAAACTCAGTAACACCGCCTTGCGTCTTAGTGATTTTATTGCCTTGCTTGAGATGAAATGCTTATAATAATATTAATATCTAAAAACGAATTCCAAATGTTAACTGTGGGAAAACGCCCAAGAAAAGAAAATGAAGTTCTGTGGGAAAAAAAATAAACAATCTAACAATCAATAATTCAAATTCAAGTAGTAGATAATCAGTGAGAAATACCCAAGCTATAAACAGTGGGTGGAGTTGAGAGCACATTTAATTCATGTCAATATAAATGAATTAGTTTTGGCAAAAATATTTGCATAGCCATTATTTTCTGCTCGCTTATTAACTATGTTTCTTTTGAAATTTGAGACTTAATTTTTGGAAATTGTGTGCACTTCATTTGTTGTAAAAAAAAAACGTATTAATGAATGAATGAACTTTGATTCGATTTGGTGTGTTTTACGGCATATCAACCTCAATGGGTTATTTAATGCCGATAAGATTTTTATTGCTAGTAATATTTTTTTCCAAAAAATGTATTGCTGGTAATTTATTTTTATAAAAGTATTTTTGGTAATTTTTTAAAATATATATTGCTGGTAATTTTTTTAGATCTATTGTTGGTATTTTTTTTAAATACTGGTGGTAATTTTTCAAAAAATGTATTGCTGTTAATTTTTTTTAATGTATTGCTGTTAATTTTTTAAAAATCTATTGCTGGTAATTTTTTTGAAATGTATTGGTGGTAATTTGTTTTAGTGTATTTCTGGTAATTTTTTAAAAATGTATTAGTGGTATTTTTTTAAATGCATCGCTGGTAATTATTAAAAATATATCGCTGGTAATTTATTTAAAATATATTACTGGTAATTTTTTTTAAATGTATTTCCGGTAATTTTTTTAAACGTATTGCTGGTAATTTTTTTTAAATGTATTGCTGGTAATTTTATTTTTAATGTATTGCTGGTAATTTTTTTAATGTATTACTGGTAATATTTTTTAAATGTACTGCTGGTAACATTTTTTTAATATATTGCTGGTAATTTTTTTAAATGTATTGCTGGTTATTTATTTAAAATGTATTACTGGTAATATTTTTAAATGCATTCCTGGTAATTTTTTATAAATGTATTGCTGGTAATTTTTTAATTGCATTGCTGGTAATTTTTTAAAATGCATTGATGGTAATTTTTTTAATGTATTGCTGGTATTCAAAAAATGTATAGCTGGTAATAGTTTTTTTCCAAAATGTATTGCTGGTAATAATTTTTCTTCAAAAATTTATTGCTGGTAATAATTTTTTACAAAGTATATCTGGTATTAAACCCTATTTTTACACTTTCATAGTGTTTTGACTCCAGTTTGGGGGTTAACTATTTGCCCATAGCTGGGATTCTAACAGGTGCTACCACCCCGGGCCAGGGTGGACCTGGAAACAGCAGCAAATAAGAGGTGTTTCCATGCTACTCAAAACCTCTTATCAAAAGTTTTCCTGCTGGATGTAGTCTATCGTCTTACCCAGGACGCAATGAATGAACGTTCTGGAATTATGCTTGCAATCTCGTATCACGTTGACGACACCGGTTCTCGTCCGCTTATTGAAGTTAAACAACGTCGAACCTGATTAGTTCTTAGGTGATCATTTGGTGCTGAAAAATTACATTGGGTAGCAAGGGCAGTCAATCTACGGATCCCGTTTAGACGAAGCATGCTCATAAGGAAAATACTTTAAACAATAATAAATATACTTATACTTAGAATCAGGAAGGACACATAATGAGGAAAGAGGGCTAGGAGAATTTGACACTTACAGATCAGATCGAAGGTTGGAGGGGCAAGAGCGGCAAACAGCGAGTAATCTACCTAAGTAGCTTGTGAAAATTAATGACAGGACAGGGATCTGAAAGAGTGTAAATCCAGC